TGTAGCCTTGGCCTTGGGCTGAGCCTTTTTAACTCTCTTTGGCTTTGGTGGGGGCATTGATTGCGTTTGTACAGCTTCGGCGTCAGTTGGAAGGTCGGCAAGAAGATCTTGAACGACAGGCCTTGGACAAACCATCTTGGCAGTCTTTACAAGTCTTCGTCGACGTTTACGTTCTGGAATTGGTATTAAGTAGGGGGCCGAAGTTGATGGAAGATCGGCTGGGTCAGAGGTGGATCCTTGGTCTGTTCGGGATGAAGAAGCGGTTACAGTTGTAGCAGTAGGTGGAGAGAGACTCTTTTTCTTCCTTTTTGGGATGTCGGGCAAAGTGGATTTATACGTAGGGATGAAGTTTAGTAATAGTGGGGCTTTTCGTTTGTGGACTGGAAGGTCAAGGAGTTTTTTCAGATTTGTTCTTGGGATGAAGGATTGGCGGAAGTTTTTCGGTGGCTGATGAAGATCTGCAGGACAAAGAGACAGATGTCAGAAATAGAAAGTATTAAAGACTTAAATAAAAACAACTAAGTGTTGGCTCAGGGCTCTTACCCTTGCCCTCTGAAATTGTTCGAGGAAGAGGGTAGAGGTGGACATCTTCGTCTGGGCCAAATTCCCAATTTCCCGACGCAATAACAAAGTCATCTCCAGCCCCCTTGTTGGAGTCTGGAAGGTCGGCTACAATTTTAAACTGGGTGGATCTCGGCTTAAGGTAATAAACGAAGCCCCTATCCTTCAGGTTGAGGGGACACATGGTATAGCAGTACTGAAGGTCGGCCAGGGTGATTCTAAGATTCTCCTGCCTAGCTAAAGCTATAATACCGTTAATCACCCTATATGAGTTGATAGTAAGTTGCATGGGGTTCAGCCTGTAGAAATGAAGAACTTCACGAAAAAGGGGGTGAAGTGGAAGCCGAAGTCCACATTCGGTAAAAGCTACTATAGGAAAAGGCATTGTATGATCTGTGGGCATGATGGTATCATTATCCCCAGCTAGCTTAAGGTGAACATCGGCTGGGATAGAGAATTCCTGCCTAAAGTATTCAAGTTTTGTTGGGGTATTTACCCTATGCCTCCACATACCCATTATGTCAGCTTAAAATGTGTTTCAGAAGATGGGCGTTTTAAGAAGGGTTGCAAGACCCTCGGCAAAGACTTAGGAAAGGACTGATAAGGCTTGTTTCAGTTTTCCCTAAAAATTGAAGGTTCTACACACAACTCCAAAGCCAAAGAACTATAAAGATCAAGATCGAAGGCACAGATCTAAACAAGAAAACAAAGGCGACGCTTCAGAATCAAAGAACAGAGGTATGATTCTCAGAAACAAAAGAAATACAGAAAAAAAAAATCAAGAACAGTGGCAAAAAAAGTGGTGAAATAATGCAAGTGTTCAAGATGTAGCCATGATTCAAGATACAAACAGATCCAAGGCTTTGAACAAAAGCGATAAAAGCAACAGGCAGACGGAAGCACATAGAGAGAATTAAGAATGAAAGGAAAGAATCTTACCAGAACAAATGAAGCCGGGGCAATGTTCGCCGAGCTCAAAAATCGGTTGCAACAGCAAAGAAAGCTTCACAAGAATGGGAGATTAAGGACAGTTCCAGAAGAGAGATCGAAGCAATGGCAGATTCGAAGAAGAAAGAGCTTTCGGAGAGAGAAAGTGCAAGAAATCAGAATGAAAAAGTGAAGGAAAAATAGAGGCAAAAAAGAGTTTTGTCAAAAATTTGAAACGGCGGCAAAATTAGGGCAATTATTACGCCTGGAGCAATGCACGCGTCAGGCGGCGCAGACAAATGACAGACAGCTTTCAGGCGCGTCACAGACACGCTCCAATGAAGACAAAACACGTGAAAGGAACGGTTAGATATGCATGACAGCTCATGCGCGTGGGAAAGTACGTTCGAAACCTTGTTCTTCGAAGAAAACACATCGGCTGGAAGAGGATTATCTCGGCTAAACAGTTTTTGAGCCATTACTCAGAAAAGAAATGTTGAAATGTCGATATAGGTTCCATCACCTCAGAATGCCGAGGTAATAGAACCTAGGGGGCAGTTGTGGGGATATATTTTCTGAATACCAACACGTGGCATGGTGACGCCAACGTGTCAGCCGAGGTGCCACGTGTCGTTTTAGTTAAGCCGAGATGATCTCGAAGTTGCCGAGGTTATCCCCGAAGATATCGGAATTCGAGATAAGCAGATAAGGGACAAGAGTCCTAAGACAAAGAGGGGACTTAACCAAAATAAGGATAAAGCTCTTAGGGAGTTTATCTTTATCTCTTAAAGAGTCCAAAGTAAGCACTAAAATTGGAGTTCATAGAAGTCATACTTCTAGTGGGACTTGGATTTAGTATATTATAAAAGAGAGGCACCCCCGTGGGTCTAAGGTATGCAATTTATGTTTTGAGTATTAAGTTTTGCACTTGATTATCTTTGAGAGATATACTGACTTGATCGTCGGAGTGCCCCCGGGTGGAAGAACCACCGCCGGAGCCTTTTCTTTCTGTTTCAGGTTGCTGAACCCATCTATTCTGCCTGTGCTCTCCAGTTGATCACTAAGTAGGCAGTGTGGTCAGATTTTCACCCACACAAAAACAAATGATATTAAACAATTTTGATTATACATATCACATGATGAAATTCATATTGATCTACCTACATTTTCTGTGATTTGTTCTATTATCAGTTTTATATTCCTAAATTCAAGTAGAATGGAACATGCACTTGATGCACTAAATAAAATTGCTCCATCACATGGATGTTTTTGTTTTGTTTATGTCCTCACATGCACAAACCTTTACATGGTGAAAATGACACTTTTATCTCATTATTGGTCACCAAATTTCTTTGCAAATTACAACAAAGGTTGTTGGCAGTTTATAAACTTAGAGACTAAGTTAACAAAATAAAGTATATAAGTCAAATACACATCTATATAATAAGGGAAGAAGGTTTTTGAAAATGTATAAAATGTATGTGAGATACATTTTAATTTAATGGCTGAGATTAATCCCAAATTTATATCAATGGTTGAGATCAGTTTTTTTCCCATGCAAACGCTCTCAGCTCTCTCTCTCTCCCACCTACCCACGTCTCTTCCCCATTCCTTCTTTATCTCTCCCACTTTCTGTTCTCACATGTCCCCATTCCCTTTTTGTCTCTCCCCCTTTCGAAATCGGACCCTTGGCTGAAGAATGTTTGAGTTCATCTATGGTATGCACAACAGCGAGCACAACAATCCACCGATTGGCATAAACCTCCGAACTGTGAATCACCCAGAATCCATTAGATTCGGAGAAGAAACTCGAATCAGGTCAGAGCGTTTCACGGCCATTGCGGTCGCGACCATACTGAATCCTCTAGATTTGATCAAAAGCGTTTGATTCGGAAACATGCACTTGGACACAGAACCACCGTATTGGCAAAGGAAATCGAACCAGAATCCATTAGATTCAGAGAAGAAACTCGAATCAGGTCAGAGCCAATTATGATATCTATAGATTATATCATTTCCATTCCGTCTTGACTTCGTCTTTGATAGCTATAACTTCAGGAAAAAATAATTTGGGGGAAATTGAAAATGGAATTTAGGTAAATTCTCATTGAAAGCAAATTTATAAATAAAGTTTTTATCATTTTTCAGTGCACAAGGATAATTATTGTTCAATTGCCATTGCGGTCGTGACCATACTGAATCCTCTCTTGAGATGGAGATGGATCGACTCCTCGAGATTTGATCAGAAGCGTTTGATCAGGAAACATGCACTTGGACATAGAACCACCGTCTTGGCGAAGGAAATCGAACCAGAATCCATTAGATTCGGAGAAGAAACTCGAATCAGAGCCCAATTGTGATATCTATGTATTATATCATTTCCATTCCGTCTTAACTTCGTCTTTGATAGCTATAACTTCAGGAAAAAATAATTTGGGGGAAATTGAAAATGGAATTTAGGTAAATTCTCATCGAAAGCAATTATGATTTGTTTGGATAAATTTAACAGGAAGTTAACCAACCATGACATGTCTTGGTACAACATTAATATATGGAGATTCTGTTCAGAGCTCTGTTGGCATGTCAAATATTCGAAGAATCATAGGAGTTTGTCCCCAGGTGATTCCTTTTGTACTTTTCCATTTCTTTTTAGTTTTCACTCTTTCAATGAGATCATAGATTTGATTGTCCCACTATTTCTATTGATTTCTGTTTCACTGTTTATAGTTTGATATTCTTTGGGATGCATTGTCTGGTGAAGAGCACCTCCATCTCTTTGCAAGTATTAAGGGTTTGCCCCTTTCTTCAATTGAATCAGTGCGTGCTATACAAACCTGATACTGATTTTCTGGATACTCATTTTGTTACGTATCCACTTGATATTGTGTAAATTACAATAGACTCCAAAGGTTATTACTATATTCTAAGATAAGTCCTTTTTTTCTCAAGCACAGGTGGCACAGGAATCATTAGCAGAGGTGAGACTCACTGAATCAGCCAAAATAAGAGCTGGTAGTTACAGTGGAGGAATGAAACGCCGCCGTAGTGTTGCGATTGCCCTAATTGATGATCCGAAGTTAGTCATATTGGATGAACTGGTATACAGATAAGAGAATCTTTGTTTTTCATTAAATTTATTCACTTCATCTGCTCACAAGAAATTTTATCATTTTTCAGTGCACCAAGGATAATTATTGTTCAATTGCCAAAAGTTAAAATAATTAGCATTTTTGGCAATAAAATTTTCTATTTTCCTCATAATTATTTGAATTTTTTCTTATTGTTAACAATTTTCCCAAACACAAAAATCAAAAGTACAACAGTAGATATGATCAATATATAAATTTTTTTGATTTATCACCGACTGACTTTTTTATAAATAATTGAAAATTGAACCGAGATGTACCTCTTGTGCTTTGATTCTTTGGTAGATCTTTGATTCTTTTAATGAATTTATAATTGGAGACAATTCTTTTGTGGTCTTTTGGTTACTTCCTATGTTATGACTTGGTCATGGCTGGTGTTTATGATTAGTTGATTAGTAGTGTTTATGACTTGGTCATGGCTGGGGTTTAAAATGATATAGAAGCTTATTTTTTAGACTTACTTTTTAGATGCAATGATGTGTGGAAGAGATGATTGGTGATGATTAGACACTACTATCAGGATTATTATTTTGTTGGTTATGACCTATGGTGATCTTGGTTACAATCGAAAATGACTTTGGATATATTTTCGTGGCATTTGGTTGTGACATTTTTTTTGAAGTTATGATTGAAAATGATTTAGTTATGACATTTATGTAATTAATATAAAAAATGTACATATTGTAAGGCTCTGTATTCTAGAATGACCCCATTGAAGTACACTAATATTGTAGATGGTTCAAATGTCAAAGATTGTTGGTTCAGATATTGTGTAATTGTGCACATAATGTAATTTTAGAGAGGTTCAGTTGTACTGTGATGATGTGCGTGGGCTGGTTTATGTGTTTTTGGTTAGGGTTTGTTTAGGTTAGAATGTGTGGTGGTTTGGAGGGTTGGTCCCTTGTGGGTAATTGTAATTTAGTCAAATTGTCAATTGTAAACCAGTATAAAGCTCAAGGGTTGGTGGTGGCTACATGTTGTGGCTTTAAATCTCAGATGTGGGTTCGTGGATTTTGTTTCAGTGTTGCAGCAGAGTAAAGATTCCTGATTCCTCTGTGCTAGCTGGAGAGGATGAATTTTAGCGGCCTGATCATTTGAAGGAATAAATTCATGCATTGCAAAAAAGAATTTTTTTTCCGTCATGTTGATGCAGAAGAGAGGAGACAGTACTTTCTTATGTGGTGAACTCATAATTTTTTTTTGCTATTTCTTTGATGCTGCGTATTTTTTTAGCTAATGTGACAGATTTTGAATTGCATTGGTTCTAACTTTTGGGTTGAGCATGTCTAATTTAAATCTTGATTCTTCATGTATAGATTTTGTGGTGTGAACATTATTTTTTTGGCAGAGATGTAGAGTCCTTCATATTAGTTTGGTTTGTAAATTGTGTTCACATACTAATTTTTGGTTTGGAATTGTTTTGTTTCCGCTACTATGAAACATTATTTGGCCATTTTCGCCTTATCTTCTACACTTAAATTAGGGCTTTCTTTTTCTTTGAGAGATTTCTTTTTCTTCTTTTTCTTTTTTCCTAGAGAGATTTCTTTTCTTCTTTTTCTTTTTTCCTTCAATTTGTGTAGTGGATTACAAATATTTACTTTTAGATTTGTGGATTATGCTGATTAAGTTATACAATTATTTCTCTTTTGATCTACAAAACATGCTGATGTACACATTGCTGGATGGATGTTGTGGTCCTTGATTTATTGTTCCAGTCCCTTGATCCAATTTCATGGTGTGTTCATCTGAGCAAACCAAATGGATAGTTTTATTTGATTTTTTTTTAAATTTTTTTTTATCAGTTGTTCATAGCATTTTAGTGCACAACGTTAACTCATTAATATTCTTTAATATGATGCTTGGGTTCTATTGGGAATTAAATTGTTCAATCTATTTTTAGTTTACAATTATTTTTTAAAAAAATTTAATATTATCATCTATAACTTAAGAAAACAAAGAGTCTTCGTTTGAGAAGAGAGAGGAACGGGGGATATCAGTCGGTGAGAGAGAGAGACAGTTGAGAAGATTACTGTTTTACAGTCTTTGGGGGAGAGAGACTAAGGTAATAGAGAAGAGGAGAGAGTGGGTGCGAAAATTGAGAGATTGCAATTTGGGGGAAGTGCAATTTATCTTGGGAAGATTTTTTTTATTAAAAATATAAAAAATGTTACATATTCTTAAAAAGATACAACTTTATAACTCTCATTCACTTATGATTGGTCCAGGAAGGAAATAAAAACAATAAAAATATATGATTGGTTTACATCATTTTGGGAGTCATGGAGGTTCCTAATTTTGGGGGTTCTTGAAATTTATTTGGGTTACTAATAAATTGGTATTTCATTTGAGTTTCATGTCTTTATTTAGGAATTTTTCTCCTTCCTATGAATTTATTACCTACTTTTTAAAAAGAAAAGAAAAAAAACAAAAAACAACAAGGGATTGGATAAGAGAGAAAAAAACTAAATTTGAATACATTCCTCTCTAATTTTGATTTATATTTTAATCCCATCATTAATTGTACCGTGCCTTCAGGCACGGGCATACGCTAGTGAATCTATAAAACGAGAAATTTCTAAATTTTGATAAAACCCTAGAAACTTGAGAGGTTGAATTTGAGATTTTACAGTTAAATTTATGAGAAATTACAAGTGTTGAAACTTATGTTTTATGAATAATGTGAAATTGAAAGTGTGTATTCAAAAGGATGAGACCAAGGAAAATCTTTTTGAGAATATTGAAAATTTTGAGTTTATTTTAAGCATTGATTAAATTGAAGAATTGACCTTTTGAGAGAGGATGAGAATTATTTATTATGTTGATATTGATGGGAATTATTAACTATTCTCTTATTGTATATTGTCTCTTGAAATTTACATTTCGAATAGAGAATTATTTTGGCAATTGATGGAGGGCTATTTGATTATTGTAAAACTCTCATGTAAACTAGGTAAATTGGAATATTTACAAATTCATGCATAGTATTTGACATAGGTGGGCCTATAGGGGCTTTTGGCCCACCTCTTAGAGCCTAATACATAATTCAAACACCAAAGCCCAACGTTGCACCAAGGACCACTGACATCTAAACACTTGTCAAGAGATGAACTAGCCACATAAGCAGACAAAGATTCTGCAAAGTTATTGCACCACACATTAGTCATTAATGAGGTTCCCTGCAGCATTTAATGCGACAACCCCTTCACGTCGGGGCAGAACAGCCTCACCCTGAACAAGACAAGCTAAAACATAGACTTTCGGCCAACATGACAGGTCAGAGTGGATAAGGAAATGATGAGTAAAGGATATAAGCAGGTTTCTAAGACAATGAGAAAGTTAAGTTCTTTATCACCATCCTATCTCTATATACCGTCGATCTCTCTTCTCTAACTGGCTCGTCGGAGGGTTCGCTGGGGGACTCATGTTCCCCGTTGAACTCTTGTGCAGGTTTCTCAACGGGCCCAGCGATCGGACAACAGTGTGGGAGGCCTGGATCAGTCCAACCTGTTCTTTAAAAACAAGTAGTGTCATCAGTTGGAGCCGTCTATGGGAACTTCCACTCCATGTGGCAATTGTGCTCATTGTCACCGGAGGCCCATCCCCGATAATCCCCCCTTTGCCACCCACCAAGGTAAATGGTCACAACGAGATCCATGGCTTCTCGTTGCCGACCCCCAAGCTAACCCTCCTCACCCAAACAACCCACCACAGTATTTCGCAAGACTCACCAACAGCATTAACTGCCTAGCCAAACAAAACCAAGCCCTGATCAATGTTTTGCTTCAACGAGACCTCCATGTGCCTCCTCCACCACCACCTCAAGATATCCCACCCAACCGAGAACGAACCCCGAGCTATCCCTTCCAACAAGCCCATCCTTCTAACTTGGAGGGTTTGCGACCCCTTCCCCAAGATATGAACTTGTCACCTCGGGCTCCACATCCATCAATCCAAGCACATGCTCCCAAGAGAGAGGCCAGTAATGTCTAGCCTTCATTGCATTCTGGCGGTGACAACGTTCTTATTTGTGATACGGAATTCCAAGCCATGAAAGTCCAACTTCAAGGAGTCATGCAGAACATACAGAATAAACCCTCCACAACGGCCAACTCACCATTCGTCGCCTCCATCAGGGACAAACCCCTACCTCCTAAGTTCAAAATGCCCTCGATCGACTCTTTCGATGGTACAACGAACCCAGTTGACCACTTGGAGACTTACAAGACCCTGATGGTCCTCCATGCATTTCCTGATGAGATCATGTGTCGGGCTTTTCCCGTAACGCTTAAGAGGTCGGCTCGATTGCGGTTTAGTCAGCTACCAACAGACTCTGTCTCTACTTTCCAGCACCTAAGTAACTCCTTTCTTAGCCACTTCATTGGTGTCCAGCGCCAGTGGCATCCGACAACCCAACTCCTCAACTTCAGTCAGACGGAGGGGGAGTCGCTACGCAGCTTCATCACTCGCTTCAACACTAAAGCCTTACAGGTGGTGAAAAACGATGACAAGGTCATTCTCACGGCTTTCATAGTTGGTTTACGATCATCCGATTTCCTTTTCTCCCTCTCCAAAAATCCTCCAACCTCCATGGCAACCCTTCTTTCCAAAGCCCAAAAATACATGAATGCCGAAGATTCTCTGGCCGCCCGCCAAGATTCCACAACCAAAAACCCAACCCTCAGAGAGAAGAGAAAGGAATCTGAAACTAGAACCACCCAATACACATAACAAACACCTCAATAGACCGAACCGCTCGAGCTGACCGATCGGCACCTACCCGACCGCCCGGTTGGGTCGAATGGTACACACCACTCAACTCCCCCATGGAACAAGTCTTAAACCAGATCCAGCGAGATTACAACTTGAAATGGCCACAACCCTCGCGGTCTCCTTCCAACTGGCGAGACCAATCCAAATACTACCGTTTCCATCAAGACCATGGCCACAACACCGAGGAGTGTGTTAACCTTAAAGACCAAGTAGAAGGCTTGATACGCCAGGGGCGCCTCAATCCGTTCACGGCAACCCGTCCCCAGCAACAGCCAAAGACCGAACCTGCTAGGGGTAACCGTCGGCACACCCCTCCCTGACAACCCGTACAACCTAACCGAGGCAATGATCGGTCCCCGCCATGACCTCGAGCACATGGTAACCCTGCTCCCTCGATTGGAGAGATCAGAGTCATTGCTGGTGGACTTGCATGTGAAGAACCATCCCGTTCAACTCAGCAAGCCAAACTTAGAAAAATCAGGCAGGGCTCCGACAAAGAAGTCGCAACGTGGGATCGCCCCTTCAAACACCCCAAACAATGGATGGAACCCATCACCTTTACGAAGGCCGATTGTACAGGCATCTGTTACCCTCATGACGACCCCCTCATCATCTCTGCTCTCTTGTCCAATTACAAAGTCAGACGAGTGCTTGTCGACAATGGCAGCTCTTCAGATATCATCTTCCTAAACGCCTATCGACAGCTTAAGGTCGAGAAGGAAAGATTGTCCCCTCTCCAAACCCCACTGATCGGCTTCACGGGGGATTGGGTGACCTCCATAGGCTCCATTGATCTTCCCATCACCATTGGAGAATACCCACGGCAGACCACCAAGTCACTCACTTTCCTCGTCGTTGACTGTCCCTCTACTTATAATATCATCCTCGGTTGCACAACCCTTAACGCTTTCTAAGCTGTCACATCCACATACCATCTGGCCATGAAATTTCTTACTGACCTCGGGGTCGGCACTGTGAGGGAAGAGCAGACTGTGGCCAAAGAATGCTACGTCGCTTCACTCAAAGAGGTCAAGCTGAAAGAGGCTATGATCATCGAAGGACTCGACATTAGAGACGAAGACGAGTTAGTTAGAGGGGAACCAGTGGAAGAACTTGTTGAAGTCCCCATCGACCCCACCAACCCAGCAAAAACAGCCAAGATCGGTAGCCAACTATCCTCCCAAGCCAAGGCCGACCTTACAGTCCTCCTAACCGAGCACAATGATGTGTTTGCCTGGACCCATTCCGACATACCGGGTATCGACCCCTCCTTCATCACTCATGGTCTCAACATTGAGCCCCATTTCTGACCCTTCCGCCAGAAGCAGCGTATTTTTCACCCAGAACGCAATGCCCTTATTACTTCTGAGGTAGACAAACTACAGGAGGCACGGTTTGTCAAGAACGTAGACTAACCCAGATGGCTGTCAAATGTGGTCTTGGTCCGTAAAAACAACGGTAAATGGCGACCCTAGGCTTGCCCCAAAGATAGTTATCTCCTCCCCCGCATAAATCTGCTTGTCGACGCCACAGCCGGACATCA